GAAGTGTCTTGCCCAAGGACACAACGACCGAGACTGTCCGAGCCGGGGCTCGAACCGGCAACCTTCCGATTACAAGGCGAATTCCCAACTCTTGAGCCACGATCGCCCCCGATCATACAACATATAATATATGTTGTAGCGATAGCTGAGTAGGTGATAAAGACTGATATATTTGAAAGTACCTGAAGAGTGAATAGCCCTTTTCCTTTTCTCCATCACCTCCATGAGGGCCCCAACGATGCCTGATGATGGGGCTGGTGTGGCAGGTGCTGAGTCATTATTATCGTCCCTCTGTAAAGACGATACATAAACGTGGTGGTTAAAGCACGCAAAGAAAGCACAGCGGATGGAGAGATGCCGTGTGGGATGGATAAATACTCACAGTTTTAAGTTGGATTCCTTGTCGGATTTGGTCCAGAAGCGCGTCTCTGCCCACGTTGGATGCTGGCCTCTCTTTCTGCTCCACCTTTTTGAGCTGGGTTCCTTCTCTGATCTGACTCAGCAGCGCCGACTTGTTTCCAGATGCCGGCAGGCTGCTGTCCCCTCCGTTAGCTTCTGTGGCGAGTGGAGGAGCTGGGGGTGGAGGGCCAGGAGGAGGTGGCGGGGGAGGAGGAGGAGGTGGTGCGCCAGCGCCGGATGAGGGGGGAGGTGGGGGTGGTGGGGGAGGTGCGACCGGAAGGGATGCGTGGACTGGTGGAGGGGGAGGCGGGAGTGGGCCGCGGCTGGGAGGAGGCGGCGGTGGAGCAGATATGCCTGGCCGTGATGGAGGGGGAGGCGGGGGTGCAGAGACGGGAGCTCTGGAGGGGGGAGGAGGTGGAGGTGCACCTCGTCCCCGTGCGGGAGGTGGTGGTGGGGGAGGGGCGGAGCCGTGATGTGGGGGTGGGGGAGGAGGGCCGCCTCTGGATGGAGGTGGAGGTGGAGGTGCTGAAGAAAAGGAGGAAGAAAAAAGTTAAAGCAGAAACTTGTGATTGAACCATTTGTAGTTCACACTGTATCCCCTACAGGTTTTTTTCCTTTTTATTCTCTACATATAATTTTAATGAAGGGCAGAGGAAAATCTGGACAATTCCTAAAGATTTTAAGGAATCTCAGTCAAAAAGTGCTCGTCAGGTCCTCTTGCGCAAAGCCATGCAATTACAGAGTTGAGTGAAGGAGCAGCCTTCTTGCAAATAACTGGTGGGGGTTTTTTTGTTCACAAAATCTGTATTGAGAAAAAAAATGTCCACAAACTTTCAAAGAAAGATGTTAATACTCCCAAACTGGACTTCATATCCCCATTCCAAGTATGTGAACACCATTTAAAAACATGCTTTCCAAAGCTCAAAAGGCTAGTTTGGCTCTGCTTCACTGACGACTAAAACCTGGTTAAACAAACGTAAATCCACGTGCAAAGTGTTTAAAACATGACGGGCCAAACATTTACAAGTGTGGCTGAAGTTCATGTGAGAGGTTAGATAGAAACAAAGTATTTAAAGTAGTGTCATTGCAGGACAATGTTTCCGTGAAACAAAGGAAACCTGTCTAATGTGACAAACAGCTGGTATGTCTCTAGAGAGTCGACAGCACATCCAACTCGAGAACAATCAGGTGCAAAACAGCAAACATCTTACTAAAAAGACTGAAGACCTGAAACAGCTCGGATTCATAGTTTGACTCTACATGCACAGTCACAGCAGGTCATGCATAGAAACCTACCACTCCACCTGGGCGGACCTGGGGATAAAACCACCACACTAGTTAGATTGTCTTTAATTGACAATCAACCCATTAAACACATTTTCAGAGGGTGAGTGTCCTGCACAAACACGCACATACACAGACAAATAAAGTTCTGATTGATTGATTGATACGTCAAATTTAACAGTATAGTTAAATTCCTATTTCTTATATCAAGATATGAAAACTCGGGCTACATATTCGTTTCTGTGGCCGTACCTTGTTTCCGCAGCTCATCTTTGACAGCATCTACACCTCCGTTCTTCTCGATGAAATCATAGATGACCTTAGAGGTCTCTTTATCCTTTAGCTGAGCCTCAGAAATGCCACACATATCAAACAGGTTCTTCAGCTCTGGGTCCAAGTTATTCAGCTGACGAATAAACAGAGATTTAAACATGACATTTAGCCTCTGCACCTACACTTTACGTTCAGGTTATCCCACAGGTAATCAGATTATGTGCAGTTGCAAATGTACAAACAGGAATTTCAGACAAACATCAACCAGAAAAATACCTTTATCGTTCACGGAAATAAGATTATAAGGAAATATTTTCAAGGAAATATCAAAGAATATTTTAGGAGATGCACTCTGAGCCAAATCAAAAGCTGAATGTGAGGAGTAACTTTCTGTCATTGTCATGTTGTTTTGGGGAGACATTTCTAAATAAAAATCAGCTGTTATGGTGCCACCTGGTGGTTTCAGTTCTGAGCTACCAAAGGTCTGTGTAGGGACTTGTTACAGGAGTAGTGGAATCTGGAAGCAGAAAATGCTCTGTTGCAAGTCGAGATCAAGTTGCAAGAGATGAAAACCTCAATATGACATTTAATCTGGCTTTCTAATAATATGACAGGTTTGACAAGTTGATTCAAGCAGACTATTAAAAAAAAAGACCTTCCCTTTAAAGGGAAGTTCTTTACTTTGACTTTACTAAAAGTACCTGAAGAACAGATTATAAAATATATCCCTTAACCTATTATGAATCCTCCAATTTGTGCCTAGGCTTTAAAGGATTTAAGAGGTCAGCAGGTTTTGTTTGCCTGACGTCACTCATTAAAAAAATCTCCTTGAAAGCATTAACTTATGAAACCAAAATCATCTGAAATTCATTTTTTCATTTACAGGCAGACCGAGTCTCTTTGACCTGGATAATCTCATAGCTATCATCCAGAGTCCAACAGAGTTACTGATGAAGCTCTTTGGGAACGAGTCCATGGATTATGCAGATGTGGGTTGATTCCCTACATCACCAAAAAAAAAAAACCTCCTTGTGTAACACTCCCGATGGCTCAGCCACACAGCTCAGATTAATATTTGGGAGCCAGTATTAAAAAACTATCTGTCAAGAAGAGGGATGCCTACTTGACATATGGATGAGCTACACACAAATGTCTAGAGGTCACATAGCTGACATGTGCAGACATACACAACAAACATGTACATATTAGTGTTAGGTTCTGTGGATGCTGCTTACATCAAAGCCTGTGTTTGGATCCCATCCTACATGTCCAATGTGCCTGTGAGAAAAGGAGAAGAGAGAGCATGTGAGACATGATATGTTCAGGAAGGGGGCAGAATACATAGACAGTACATGATGCTTCCTATATTCAAATAAAAAGCAGACACATAAAGATCCATTAGCTATTAACTGCAAAGCCAATCTGTGTTTGTCAGGTAAAAGCAAAGATATTTGTGTTTATTTATTCTGTAGGATGGCACTAAACGGATTAGTTCTGCCACCCCCTCACCTCTTCTTCAGATGCAGAAGTTCATCAGTGCAAATGTGTCAAACTTTTATATCAAAATTTAAGACATCTGAACTCGTAGCATAGCTTTAAATGCTACTTTTGACTTTCTCAGAGGACTACCTTGAATGTTAGCGCTGCTTAAAATTCATTTAATTATTCCTGCTGTGTGTCTTAAAAACCACATTATAAAATACAACATGTGTAATTTCTCCAAGTGCTGCATAATTAACTAAATGTATTATTTATAAGGGTAACTGGGTGATTGACTAATGGCTATTAAAATTTTGGAAATGAAGTAATAGTGCAGCAGTTCATGCTGGCTGTGACGTGGGATTATTAGGTTTTGTAAAGAGCAAATTGTCAAAGCGGGAACCAAGATTACAGCTGAACTTTTAAGCTTTTTGTGCTGCTGTAGCGCCACCTAGTGCTGTCAAACTCTGCAGCGCTGCTCTGATTTAATTTATGCATGGCAGTCTAATTTGTTGCACTTATGTGAACTCCAGGCATTTGTGTAGGAAAAATATGGCACTTCATATCTTATATGAAATTCATGGTAAGTGGTGAAAGCACGACCTACAAAAAAATACAATACTGGAAAAAGCACAAAGTCCAGGGAAAACAGTTTACCAAGGAGACCAAAGGTCAGCGTTTACCTCTGACCTTAAACAAACAACCCTGGGCTGACTCACTGGAAGTTGCTCGGTGTGCCGATGTCTGCCTTTGTCAACCTCTTCTTCTTCCCCCCTTTGATTTTTTTCTCCTTCTTAGGAAAGGAAGAGTGCACAATGTTGTTCATCTGAGAATTGTTGTGATAACGCTGAACACTGTTGATCTCTGGGTTTTTGATATCGACAGTCGCCATGGGCAATGCGGGTCCTGGAAAATGAAGAAGACAGTACTAAAGTTACAGCTCATATAAAACCACAAAGGATTTTCCTCCTACATCTAAAGAAGTGTCTTTAAACGCCTAATGCATGAACTGTCTTCATATTAAAATGCCATAAAAGTGTTTAACAAGCCATAAAACATGACCTGTGACCCTGGCTCTATATAGAAATAAGAGTTTGTGCTTTTACTTGGGTAAATCATCCTAATGACTATTACAGACTGTGTGGAGATCTGCACGTTATTTAAATCTGTTGGTGAGAAAACAATGTCAGAATATTCAGTATATGATAAATAAAAGCATTTTTCATACTTCTCTGGGGTATTTAAACGAAATAATCACATTAGTTAAGACAGAGAGATGAAGCTAAACATCATTAAGACTAAAGACTTTGTACATTTTTGTCTAAAACGTGTTCAAAAACTTGTTCTCTTCAGTTTTGGTCCTCATCCATTGTCTAGACAATGGGTCTCAAACACAAGGCCCGGGGGCCAGAATAGGCCTGGGGAAGACCCCAATCTGGCCCACTGGATGACTTTAGAAAATGTGAAGGAGCAGATAAGTTCTAGACTTTTAACTGTATTTTCACAAGTGTTACACCTTTTCCTGCTAATAAAGACATCCCTAATAGCAATTCATACTACACTGAAATAATTAAAAAACCGAGACAAACTGTTCTTTTTTTAATGCAGTAAGATATCTCATTGATTAAATGTGTGGCTAATTCTCTGTACACTCACAGAAAGAGTAGTTTCACTGCTTCCGCCAACATAAGATTAAAGTAGCCTGTGTTTGACCTGTGAGGTAAAATGAGTTTGACATCCTTGGTCTAGATAGTTAATAGATTTGCTCTTATTATGGATTACATAACCAGGCAGGTCCAAGTGGAGAAGGCATACACAGAACAGAGAGCACACTTTATTTGACCACAAACAACGAAGAATGTTTGTTTACATAGTAAATTAATGAACAAGTTCATTTGTTTTCCAGCTATTAAAATGAAGCAGAATGGACACAGGCAATGCAAGATTACCAATATAATCAATAAGTCACATGGTAATTTTATCTGCAAATCAGCAGTCACACAACAAGCAAGCACTACTACTGTCTCAACCGCAGTGGTTCTCAGAATGGGGATTTAGAAACCCAAAGCTAAGAGGTGTGTAAAAACATTTACCGATTAATGCTAATATTGTGCTGTGTAACTGAAAGCTGCAAAAAACGGTTTCCATTACTCTCCCAGGTTAAAGCAGGGACAACACACTCTCTCTGATATGATGACACATCATGTCATTCAATCACTCACTGCTCTTAGGCTGCAATAAACCACTCTTGCTGCTGTGTAGCTTGGACTGTTAATAGCTAACTGGCATTGAAAACCATTTGAATCACTCTGGTACAGTTAAGCCCAAGTCAGCTACATCAGTGGTGGACTTTTCAGAGGTTCCTCAGAAATCGCCTCTCCTTTAAAGGATCCTCCACCAAAGAAACCACAGCATACAGTCAGGACAATGCAAAATACCTACAATCACTATTCCTAACCCAGCAGTCAGCATCTCTGATCCCACCGTGCGAAACAACTCCAGCCTTTACAATAGAATTGTACAACTTTCAATTGGCACCTCAAATGAAAGACATACCTCCGACACGCTTGCTACAAGGACTGTTGGGCGTTTTGCTGGGTGAAGGCGATGCGGACCGACTGCGTCGCCTTCTCAGGTTATCCCAAATACACCTGCTGCTTCTTGCATTGCAGGTGGTCACACTGATGTCTACAAGCACTTTGTCCACCAAGTTGCAAGCTCGGTCTTCGGAGCAGATGGAAAGTCGAGCAGTGGGGTCAGAAAGAGATGGGTACAGTTCATCCTGGGGGAGAACCAGGCAATGTAAGGAAGACAGGCAGCTACCTGGGCTCAGCCCTCCACCTCCCATAGTTGCTCCTCTTCCAGAAGCTTCACAATTAAGTTCCTCAGAAGGAGCAGAAAGAAAGGTGGTGCAGAACATCATCGTAGTTGTTGGCTTGGCATGAAAGATAAGGCGGGAACGAGGTCGGATTTAAAGGCAGCAAAAAGATCTCAGGTCTTCTTTCTCAATTTAGAAAAATGTGAATCCAGTTCAGAAGGATGTTTCTGGTTCCAAAACGATACAAGAAGATGTGATGGATCTGAGTCTTCATTTACTGAATAGATTTCCTGCATCTGGTGATGATTATATGGTTCCTTCCCCAGCTGAAAAAGCTAACATCCAACAATGCATTTAAAAAGGGGGAAAGAGCCAAAACTTTGCCAGCCAGCGGCTAAAGCTTATTCATCCTCCTCGACTCCCTGCTGTCAAGATTGCAATGCCCGGATTGGCTGGCTGTGATCATTTCACCACCAGTCTGTCCACTACCTCCTCCCTTTTCCTGCAAAACATATCTAATCCCAGCAAGTTATTCTGGATTTTGTGCCTCTGTTTTACGTAACCATTAAAACCCATCCATGTCATAATCCCACAATAATCTCTTGGGTTTCTAAAACATGATGAATCAGTGGAGAGAAAGAAAGATGGAGAAGGGCAGGGCGATAGATGAAAACATGAGAGAGAAAACAGTCTGATTAAATGAAGAGAGAGGGAGGGCAGATGAGGATAATTGATGAGCAGGCGAGTGCTCAACCAGGCAGCAGGAGTAGTGGAGAGGACAGCAAAAACCAGACTAGAGATGACAGTAACAGAGTGATGATGCAGTGATGGGAAATGAGAGAAAGATAGTTAGGAATGGAGAGGAAATTCCAAAGGGATTTCCTTTGGAAATTGACTAACTTACATATGCAAAAAGTACCTTTCCGCAAAAAGAGACCATGCACGGCAAATCCAAGATAGAAATTGGCAGAACCATTTATAGGTGGCTGCTTTACTGGGCACAGGTATATAGAACAAGTTGCCTTTAGAAACCAGTTTTTAAATTGTCATTTCCAACTTGACCTTGAAAAAGCTGCATATGAATACCAACTCAAAGTCCAAAATATGAATCCTGAGCTTATTTACATGATGTTTATGTATACAATCAGAATACCATCATGCCCAATTCCATTAACCTACCCCCAATCTAAGCATCAGCCAAATACTTGTCTAAGTTAATACCTCTTTATGCTGGCACACACACAAATATATGGGCCAAATCTTCCAGGCTAAAACTTCATCACTGCTGTCTCAAACTAGGCTGTGTGTCTTGTGACACATGTCCAGAACACAAGCGTCTGCACATCCACAAATGTATTCCATCTGTTTACTCAGACCATACTAAGCGGCAGAATGACGCTACACAGAGGGCATGACTCCACTACGCGGCAATGTCGTGTCATGTTATGGTTTTACAAAGCTGAAGTCTCTTTTGCTCTACATTCCAACACCGACCAGGATTAGAAATACCAAATCAGACATTTCTTAGAAGTTCTCAAGCCTTCATTCAAAGAAAATATTTATGAAACTTCCTTGAATCGCCTCACAAAATGTTGATGTTTCTCAGGCTGTTTTAAAGCTAATTTAAAAGGAGTAAGACAAATAATAGGAAACAGAGCATGTAGTTTCTTTGCTGTGTTTTTGATAACACCCAGCAATGTGTTGTGTACTGTTTATACAGTAAATCATTTATTATTCATTAAAAAACAAAAACAAACAAAAAACACCCCCAAATCAAAACAAATAGCAGACAACCATTGTTTATGAAAAAAAAAAAAGACACCCCAAAAAACAAAACAGGCAGCATCAAAAACCTTGAGATGATTCATGTCAAACACTTCACTTCTTCTTGAGCTGCTCCTGGAGCTGTTTCACAACTAGTTTTTCCAACTATGAGCAGCTTCTCTATTTACTTTGTACTTCACAAAGGGGAATAGCTCTACGCTGGCAAAATGTTCTCAGGATGCATACTGGCTGTTTTGACTGTATATTATTATCACTGTCATAATACAAGCAGCGAAGCCACTCAGTCTTAAAAGTATTAAGGATTACAAATGTGTTTCAAGGAACTTAGGGGTTTCGTAGGGGAGCTTTGGGTTTCTGGAATTTGTACTTGTTGAGACTTTTGACAAAATTTTAGTGACATTTCAAGTTTTTAGTTTTCAGGTTTGTTTAGTTTTTTTCCATGCCATTTTCATTAAGTTAACTGTAGTCTTGCGCTTCTGTACATCCCCTTTTAGGAAGGTCATCTGTTTGGGTAACCAGTGCATGATAAAGGTTTATTGTTTTTGTGTGGGAAGTAAGCAACTCTCCCTCATTGTCACAAGTGTTTGAGAACTAACGTAGCAAAGTATGAATCCATAGTGTCACACATTGCTAAGACAGCATTTGTCTTCACCTCTTTCTTTCACAACAGAATTGGTACCAAGTGAATTCTGGTTCCCAGCTATGAGCTGGGCTAATTAAAGACACTTAAACCAAACTAAAACCAGATATCGCCCAACTATGGTTAGAAGCCATAGATCAGGAAAGGGGGAAAGTTGTTGAAAGTTTTGCCCTATGACTTGTCAACTGGCAGGTCATTCCAGCTGATAGCTTAGACCTCAGTCACATAGGCCCAGAGACCAGTTGACAACCTTCTGGCAACCTCTGGTTGCTAGGGAAAAACCCCCAGTATATCCCCTGAGTGGTTGCTGTGTGACATCGGTCGCAAAGAGGATGCTGCACCAAAAGCCTTCTAATGATTTCTTTTGCTGTTAGCAAACCTTCCACTCAGCTATAGTTTGGATGGAAGATGCTGAGTTGCTGGTTGACACAGTGGATTAAAGAACATTCATCTGCATCCAACAGGTTTATAAAATTAGATGGCGAGTCTTTAAAAACAAGTTGGAATTTTCCATGCAAACTACTGCCCATTCTGATCACAAAGAGGTTTTTGGTGCGGCAGCCTATACCTCTTTGTGATCAGTTTTCACCTTGTGACTACTGGCAACCTCCAGTAGCCACTCATCAACTGGTAAGAGAACACACATTTTTCCCAAGCAACCATCAATTGCCAGAGGGTTGCCAATCAGTCTGTAGGTCTGATGTTTTCCTTGTCTGTTTCAGACCAAGTCGCCTCTTTTTGCATTTCTTGTCAGCATGAATTTTAGTAAAATAGACAGATGCTATGCTTAAGTCTTTCTATGTGACATATCGCACAGCTTATGTCTTAATAAACTATACAGGTGTATGTAGTTTGCATATGTAGTTCGCATTTTACATTTCATGTAGGTATTATCAGTTAAACTGCAATGTAGCTTTGTAGTTTCCTCCACAGTATAAGAAGAAATGAACTATCGTTGAAACCATGAGCTACGCAGAAACCCTGCCAGTATGACACAGTGAGCAGACTGTCACAAATGTTTGCCAACACCATCAGACACAAGTCTGACTCTGGCTTTACACTTCTTTTCTGATCATTTCAGAAAGAAACAGTGGAAAACATACCATTTGCAGGGTCGCGTCTCTTCTCTGTGAACACACAGACAAATTAAGTCATTACACTCCTGTGCTAAGTAGTGGGCTGTGTTAATGTGAAGCGGATGAGTGTGAGCGCGTCAGAGTACAGACGTTAAAAAGAGAAGAGAGCCGATTTGTAGGTTTCGGCGGGATTGTGCGTGTATTGCACTGAATGGAGGGTTATTCAGAAAAAAATTAATTGCCAAGCAGAGTTCAGTTAGTGTGTTTAGAAGGAGTAAATCACACATTCTTACACACACGCGCACGCACACCAGCTAGAGCCCACACTTAAACTATCAACAACTCAAGAGGGCTTTACAAGAGATGTTGCATCTCATATTAACACCAACACATTTAGTTTCTAGAAGTTCAAAGGTTGTTAATTAACATGGGACACACACACACACACACACACACACACACA